TAGAGAGGTGAGCCAGTCATTCATTGTAGGATGCTTTGAAATGGTATGAATTGTTGAGGTGTATGAGAGGGTCCCCTAGTTCATTACAGCTCTCAGAAGCACGACAGCTGGTGCAGATATGACAATTGAGATCCTTGTCTGCACGAAAACATCCAGCTTGACATACATGCATCCACGATGAGTAACATGCGCATGTGAATACGCGATCCGCGCTAAGCCCCACGCGTGCGGGGAAAGCTTCCCAGACACGCCAGGTTCCCAAAATTTCAGAGAGCTTCACTCCTCCTGGCCTACAGTCCCAAAGCTACCGCAAGCCCACGCACACTTCACGTCGCCATGTCGAGCGGCCCCGGGAAACGAAAACAAACATCAGATGCTGCCCCAGCAGCAAAACGTCCGCGGTTTCCCCAACGCCCGCAAAAACACCGCATCGCTACCGCAGCGACTAGCACCGCCTACCCAAACGGCGAGATCAACGTCAAAAGCTTCCTGAACTCACACCAAAATGAAATCAAGGCGCTCGAAAATGCGATGCGCGCTGCGAAGAAAGGGTTGTCGCGTCGCGCGTTCCAGGACGTGCCGAGAGAGCTGAGGCGGCGAACAGCGAGTCATAATCCGCAGAGGGTGCCAAAAAGGTTGAGAGTGAGGGCGCGGCAGGAGGCGAAGGAGGATAATACGCCGATAACAAGGGGTACGAGCGGGAGTGGCGTGGGGAAGGAAAAAAAAAAGTGGTTAAGAAAAGAGGGGATCGAGAGGAGTAGAAAGGGATGGGAGGAGCGGAAGAGGAGGAGGAAAGCAGAGAAAGATAGCGATGTGACGGTTGAGCCTATGGAGGGCGTGATAATGCAGAAGGATGCTAATGCGGCAACGAAGGAGGTTGCAAATGCGAAGACAACAAGAAACAAATCACCAGCTTTGGCTACGCCTGAGACGCCACCATCACGCTTTCGCAGACGCCAGAAGGATAAGACGTGGCTTCCTACACATGTATGGCATACGAAACGGGCGCGGATGACGCCGCCGAAAGAGCCTCTCTGGCGGTTCGCGATTCCACTAGCACCCGCTGTAAAGGCGTACCGTTTGACTCACCGAGCTGCTGCATTGAGAGGCGCAGTGGCTTGGGACATGAGCTACATCTCGACTGTAAGCTTAGAGGGTGTAGAAGCGAGCGTATCAGGACTGCTGAAAGGCTTGCATTTCTCCCAAGAGACAGAAGATAATCCTTGGCAGGAGCGAGGCAAAGCTAAAAGATGGAGAAATGGCACAAGGGCTTGGGAAGGATGGATCTACGAACGAGAGGGCGGTAATCCTAAGGGGATCGCGTACATCACCGTCATTTGGTGCGTGCCAGAGGAAGGCAAAGCAAAGAGGAAAGCTTTCATTCGAGTCCATCCATGTGCATTTCTTCAGCTTTGGAACGAACTCATCCGGATTGCGAAGGTGCAAAAGCCTGCAGTCACGGTTGAGGACCTGCGCTTTGAGATTGGATCCATCGAAATCATGGGTCCTGCGGCCGCGGAAACCCTCTGCTCGATTTTGCATCCGAGTGCACCTTCCGATCCATCTTCTCCTCAGACGATGTGGCCCACACTGGCTGGTGTTACAGATCCTGGGGTACTTCCACCTGGAGCGCTCTTGTCCTTCCCTATATGCGATCCGCGCCTGCGAGATCCTCCGCGTACTGCTCAGATAGCGCAAGATGCTGAGTCGCAGGTGGCATTCATTGAGACGCTTGCCAACTGGCCCGTCGATGGGTCACAGACTGCATCTGTGCTCTTCGATCGCAACTCGAGGCTTGCTGCGGCACGCTCACTCCCGTCCCAAAAATCCATCAACCGTCGCAAAGGCGTTGATAGTTTGGGCGAATATCCAGAACCACGAAGAATGGACCCTCAGATTCCAATGCTTGTTTACACCTCGAAGCAGAGCAAGTCATGGACAGTCCTTCTACCTTGGAAGTGTGTGATGCCAGTATGGAGGGGCATCATGCGGTACCCAGTGTCAACTGGTGGAAATCCGCGGTTCGGCGGGCTGAAAGAAAGGCGACAGGTGGACTTTGAGCGCTCAGTACCAAGTTTCCCATTCGATTACCCAGGCAGCGATGCAGGATGGGGTTGGGAGCTCCAAGAGCGCGTGGCTCGAGAACACGATTGGACCAAGCGGCCGAAAGGTAAACGCATCGAGTGGTCCACAATTGATTTGGGCAATGGCAGGAAAGGAGAGGTGGGCGATCCTTGGGCGTGCGACTGGGAGAGGCTCGTATCTGACCATGGAGAGCATACACCTATGATCGGGGCAGAAAGCAAGCTTGGGCAGTCTCCGGTTCGCCAAGTCTCCTTACGGGATGCTCGCGAGCTGACGGCAGGGCGTCCTGTCTCAATCGAGTACCAATCTACACCGCACCTCTTCACTGTCAAGATCAGTATGATTCAGCGTGGCACGCCCACGAATTGCGCTCGCGTCTACCGGCTGCCCACCAACAACGTAGAGCTCCGAAACAAGTGGCTGTCGCTCATGCCGAACTCCAAGTCAGCTTCCACCTGCACAAAGGGCCCCAAGCAGGTGCAGCATCCCAGAAACGGGACACTGCCTGAACAGGTCGAGCGCAGGAACCTTGCACGCAGCCTTCTAGAGCCTCCACCTGCTAGAAATGGTCCGCCTAGAGCAGGAGACGAGGATTATCCAGTAGTGCCTGATGATGAGGACTTGATTGGGTTTGTTACTACGGGAAATTACAACCTGGCAGAGGGGATGCCGACCGGTATTGCCAACCTTGCGCTACATAAGGCCATAGATGGTTCGTCGGATGGGAAAAGCATTAGTAAGGAGGGTCGTGTGTGCATTATACGTGAGGCAGGACGGACGATAGGTAGGTTGGCGAGTTGGGAGATAGTGTAGATGTGCTCTAGATTAGGTCGATCGTGAATGCACGAATTACTAAGTTCACTACAAGTCCAGGGAAAGACGGGGCATGGCAGTGCATGTGAGTGGTCAGCGTGTCAGCCCTATAACAGTTGTGCCGGTCGCGTGGTGGCGGCGGGTGCGTGGTGCGGGAGTGAAGCCTAAACTCCGCACCCCTAAACCTCTTTCATCCGCCAACTGTCTCAGGGCCCAGCCAGTTCAGCAACGCTTTCATGTGCTAGCACACGCACAACACCAAGGCCGCCGTCCTGCACCATGTCTGAGGACAGACCGGCGGACAGGCATGAAGGGGCGGGCGTCGCGGCGAAGCTGGCGCCCGGCCTGCTGGAGGATCTGGTAGGCTTGCACACAGCGAACCCGGACACTCAAAGCCATTGCTAAAGCCACGCGCGCACTATAGACACGGGACATCCTCGAGGACTGCGTGCACAACCTCATCTACAACACAGCGCTGTCATGCCACCGCTCCGAGAAGTCGCTGCGCATGCAGTCAGCAGCAACGCAGGCCGAGTCCGTCGCCCTGTCGAACCTCGAGCCTCCGTCGCAGAAGAATACGACCAGCAGCCAGCCTTCGCTACCCATCGCCGAGACGCCCGCAGCCACGTACGAGAATGGGCGCGTGTTTCTTAAGGGCAACCCGCTCAAGACGACGCCCGACATCATCTGCCCGCACTGCAAGCTGCCCCGGCTGATGCACCCCATTATGGGCAAGGGCATGCAGAACCCCGACCTGACCAAAGAATACTGCATGCTGTACCCGTGGGTCCAGCGCCAGGGTCACGACGTCTACGGCAATCCCTTCCCCACGGACATGGCGAAGAGTAAGAAGGAGCGCGAGCTAATGAAGCAACAGCAGAAGAACGCCGAGAAGGAGAGTGTGGGCACACCAGGATCGCAGGATACAGACATGGCAGGTGGCGACAGTCAAGGAAGGGAGATCAAGCTGAATACGGGTGGTAAACCCGCCTCATACATCCCGTGGCACACTTGCCCAAAGTGCAAGCGGAGCTTGCTCATAACCCGATTCGCGCACCATCTGGACAAATGCCTAGGTATTAGCGGAAGGCAGAGCTCGAGGGCCGCCATGGCGAAGATATCGGGGCAGAACGGCAACGGCAGCGGCGTAAGCAATACCCCGCTGGGCAGTCGCATGGGCACACCAGCACCGGGCTCGCAGGGCGACGCAGCGGTGGCTAAGGCCAGGGCTAAGGGCATCAGTCCCGTCAAGAAGCTCGGTGACGAAGACGACGAAGGCGACAATGACACTCCCGAAAAGAAAAAGAAGAAAACGAAAAGCTCTTACGTCAAGAAGGCCGACCGAGAGAAACTCTCCAAAGACGGCGGCGGGCTCAAAGTCAAGCTTAAGGCGAGCAGCACGGAGCGGAGAGCAAGCGACGGGCCTGAGAAGGAAGGCAAGCGCGACCGCGAGGGCGACTCGATCGACCCCGACGGCGCACCGAAGACGAAGAAGATCAAACTGTCGCTTGGCAAAGCGGGGAGTCCTCCTGCACCAGTTGCTCAGGAGTCAACAGGAGGCTCGTAATACTAGACATATTGGAGCTGGATTGGTGGGAGTGGGGGTATTGTGCGCGGTTTCATTATCATGCATCAACACGGCGTTTTATGGTATACCATGGAGCAGGCTGGTATCATTACAGGGCCTTTTTGAGTGTCGACAGCATATGGGTTTACGAGGAGGGGCGTTTCCACACGGCACTCTGGCATATTTGTATTTTTGAAAGCGCCAGAGAAAGACATGGCATTTGCATTCCCTTTTTCCTTCTTCGATTCCACGAGAAAGAGTAGGACCGTCAAGTGTACGAATTGAAGTGGTATCTGAACAAACTAATATTCCAAGACTCTCCCAATACTAACCATTTATTGACATAGCCTATTGCTAGTATGCTGGTGTTGGGGTTCGCTTGTCTACCCGTCCGTGTACAGAAATTTTCTGCCGGTGGGTCTTGCATAGAGGAGACAAGACCATGAAGACTGTACAAACAACTTCTTCAGATGTTGTCTGGAGCAGCAATATGTATTAGCTATGGCTCAAAAATTCTTCATCAACCCTCCAAATCGGCTCGGTGGTGTAGTTGGTTATCACGTCAGTCTAACATGGTTAGCTCACTGAAGGTCCCGAGTTCAAACCTCGGCTGAGTCATGAAAGTTCAGAGCGTAGTGTGACTTTATCATTGAATTCAAAACAATGATAGAGTTACATTGAGCTCTGCTTTTTTTTTGTGTCTGTTTCTATTTCTTATGTTAGGTAGGAGCCATGGAGTGTCCTCGATTGTTCAGGACAGGAGCAGAGGATCGAAATGCGTAAATCTTCTGAGGCGGCGCTTTTTTTTTATTTCTGTATAAGCTCTGGTAGGTGTGCCCTTTGGGTTCTCAGATTAACATATTGATATGAGCATATCAGCTATTGTATTGTTCACATTTGACACACATCTTGCGGTGTTGTCTGTCATCTTACCGTCCAACGGCGGACTAACAAGCTGAAAACATTTGAACAAACCCTCCTACTCTGGGCATATCAAATATATCGTATCCATGACACTGTAGAACGACATTAATATCACTGTCGTCGGGAAGATGCTGATCTTTTCACTATCTGATTTGCTTTCGGTCTCGGAGCATCTTGCGTCCCTAACCTAGGTCTAATTTTGTTGTTGCAGGTGGGTCTCGCAAAGTTTTTGATGCAACAAGAACATTGTGGCTTTCTACGAGAATACCATTTCCTTCACGAGCCTGTACCGCACGAGTATGCGTATTAAATTCGCAATCATACATCTTCATGCGCATTCCATAGGCTCGGTGGTGTAGTTGGTTATCACGTCAGTCTAACAACCCCTCAAAGGTCATTAGTGCACTGAAGGTCCCGAGTTCAAACCTCGGCTGAGTCATTCAGTCAAGATACAAGCGTGTCTTGTTTCCAAAGTCGCTTTTTTTTTCCCTTAGAAATTTGTTAGTGTGGACGAATTGGGGGCATGTTCGGCTGAGTTAAGCAGGGGTACATCATCCCGCTGTTCAGATTTTTCCCCTCTCAACGGCTCCCCTCCCTACCAACCAATCGGGATGCATTAGCACCAGGCTTGGTGTCCAACACCTATCGCTTACCCCTAGTTCCAAGATCTCGTTGAACTTTTTTTCTTTTCGAAGCCGAAATAATGAGGGGGGGATATAATTCCTGCATTTCTGGAAAAGTTCATGAATCCACAAAAACGGCTCGGTGGTGTAGTTGGTTATCACGTCAGTCTCACATGGCATTCTCATGTGTGCTCACTGAAGGTCCCGAGTTCGAGCCTCGGCTGAGTCAATTTTTTGCCAGTACACAGACCTTGCGCATCAACGCCTGGCATGGATTCGTTTTTGAGTCGTTGGGTGTGCTGAGGGAGTATGTTGGGAACGTAGGTGTGCGCTGGTACAATTAGGATCACGATCGCAAGCATGGAAGAAATGCAACAAGACATTAAGCGAGACATCGATTGTATTATGCGACTGTATCGCTGAAAGGGATGAGAGAAAGCCAGCGTGAAGGGGCTTTACAACAGGATTTCTTAGGAGCACGAGAATTAGGAGACAGCAGAAGTCAATATATTTTCGAGACAAAGAATGACTAAGCTATGCGAAGAAAATGTTACACCAGGTTGGACCCTTCACACCGAACATGGAAAAAGCAATGCACTAGAAGACTACCCCAGGTAAATACTCTTCTAATCCGACGACATACTAACACTTAAGGGCGTGCATTCTTCGCGATGCCACGCATATACGATGGCCTCCTAGCCTTAGTCTTCTTGCCTCCATGCTCATACACCACCGCAGTAGGAACGTAACTATGATACGGCACCGTACCAATCATTGGCTTGCACACAGGCGAGAAGTGTTTCAACGCCCAGTCAGGATCAGCTAGTCGACGCTCCTCTTTTCCTTTGCGACGACGCTCTTCTTCTTCCTCTTCTTCTTCGCGGCGACGCTCCTCTTCTTCTTCGCGACGACGCTCCTCCTCCGCCTCACGTTGATGCTCCTCCTCTAACCTAGCAACCTGCACGCGGCGCTTATCTCCATGCTCCGTCTGCGCATCAAGGCGCGAGACAGCTGCCTTGACCGATGAGAACGGAGAAACACTGCTCGCACTCGAAACAGATAGGCTTCGAGATTGATCACTCAGGGGAGGTTTTGTAGGGGAGGAAGTCGACGACTCCGTCGGCGGTGGTGATGGTGGTGGCGGTAAACCCAAGCGCTGCCTGTATTCGACATCATACTTGCGCCTAGCCTCCCAATCCACCAGGACCGCGTACGCCATCTGCAGCTTCCGGTACTTGGTCACGTCCGTGTTGAAGTACTCGGAGCGTAGCGCCCGGAATTGCGCCTTGACTTCTTCGGTCGTCGCCCAGTGGTCAAGGCCTAGGGCGGCGTAGTGGTCAGGCCAATTGGCGATGGACGGCATGGGGACAAGAGTGGTACTGGCAGAGGATATGCAGTGGCTCCTGGGGAGAGGCATCTTGTTGGCTTTTTGTTTAGCTTTGGGGAGTTCTGTATAGGGTCGGCTGGGGCTGTTTATGTATGTTTGCTTTGAGTTTCGGTTGAGGGGTTCGATGTGGATTTTGCACATAGCATGGGGTTTGCTTTGGCAATGGTCGGATCAGTTTGCTTTTATGAAACTAGGTGTGCATTGTGGAAAGTGCTGGGGTGGTGTTGTGTCTTACACAATGTGAGTTTGTTGTTAAAACTGACACAATGTGATGAATAAGTTCACTCATCTGTTGCGCATTTTAAAGTTACCAACATAAATTGTCGAGGAGATTGAAAGCGGAGCCGAGAGGATGCCACCTTACCATTCTGCTTGTAAGTGTCTCCTGTGATCGGCTCTTTTCCTCGACTTCATTCATTCCTAGTCTCTTGACTGCTCTGCTGCCGGCCCCTACCTCGGCCTCTCCATCCTCTGCCTCTTCCTCGCCCATTATGACCTCCCCTTCCCCTTCCCCTACCGACCTGAAATTGTATCTTGACCAGCGGCCACTCTACCCATTCTATTCCCCTCAATCCCAGACTATCTTTTTCCCAGTCACCTAGCTTCCACGCCTGATACAGCCCCATTAATTTTTGCTGATCTGGCTCTTCCTTGCTCATGTTGATACCCTTGTTCAAGCTGACCTGACGGAGCTCTGGTACCCAAGCCTTGATGTATTCGCCCCGAGGATCATAATCCAGAGCTTGCTTGACGGGATTGAAGACGCGGCCCTGACGCGGGTCATTGCCCACGCCGGCAACATATTGCCAGTTACCCCAGTTACTGGGCATATCGTAATCAATGAGAAGGTATTCATACCATTCGGCTCCGACGCGCCAATCGATACCGAGATGGGACGAGTTGGAGAGGAAAGAGGCTACATTCTGACGCGCCCGATTTGAGGTATATCCCGTGAGAAAAAGCTCGCGATTTGCAGCGTCGATGAGGCCGATACCGGTGCGGCCAGATCTAAACCTGGCGAAAACTTCTCGGGTGCGTTCCGGAGTATCACCCAGGTCGCCACTTCTGTCGAGATATTTCCAGCGCTTCCGGGGTGGACGTTGCTCATGATGTCGAGCTGCTTCCTCATTGCTTGGTTTGCGATGATGTTTAGGCCTGATGTTAGTAATACGATCAGCATGTCTCAGACAAAGTCACATCCTGGTGTTACTCACAGGTCCTGAATGCCATCTATAGCGAACATCCGTCTCCCAAACTTCCGAGCGCACAAGCGCATGTAATCCCGCCACAGCAGTTCAAATCTGACGGCAGCAGTGCCTTCATTCTCTCCTTTACCATAGCCTTCAATTTTCTGTCCTGGCCCTTTTCCTTCTTCGAATTCCATCATTGCCCAGTGTATTTGGCGGGCGGTGATGTGGCCTGATGAACCGGGGTATGATCAGCATGTCTCTTGACAGTTATTTAATTTATGACTTACCTTGAGCGAGGAATGCAGAAAGCTTAGTGCTATAGTCGAGCCCGAGCATCCCGTTACGTGTCGCCTTATACGAGCTCATAGCACCACCCGAAATGAGATGCTCAAGTCTATTTTGGGCCGCAGTCTCGCCTCCAGAAAATGGATGCCCAGAGGATGTTCCGGTAGGCCACTTGGGTGGTAACGACAGGCCATGTTTCGGGTCATCATTCAATGGCTTTAGTAAAACTTTAATAAGGCTTTCCAAGGTAGTTGGAATCTCGAAAGGGCCCTTTTGAGGTGGTGTCTCATGGGGTAATGGAGGAAGCTGGTTTGGAGAAGGTATAGTAGGACGCGGGCGTGACCGAAGTGGCTCTAGCGACTTCCGGAACGTAGTGTAGATGTTCGGAAGATCTGCAATGTTGTGAAATGTTAGATCCCGACTGCCCTGGCATTAGCTTACTGTACCGCTGAGACAGGCACTGGACACTGAAAAAGGAGAAAGCTCACTCGTCAACATAATACTTTTCATCGTGCCACACTCTGAGATCGACTCCTTTTTCGCTTGCGACGCGTCGCACATTTGCCTCGTCGTTCTTTTCCTCATGACCTTCCTCTGCGGTCATCCAGATGCCCGCAACGTCCACCTTACTGCGACCCGCATCTTTCTCCTCTGCATACCACTGAAGTATGTCGTCGACCACTTCGCCGATGTTCCCGACTCTTATCTGTAGACCTGATTTATTCTTGAGATTTTCAAGTCTCTCTTTTAGATCCCAAACACCTTCGGCCATGAATTTTGCGCGATGAGGACCTGTCCGCCACAAGCCTGCGACATGGCTCTGTGCAGGTGGATAAGGACACTCGCTCGTCGAGTCAGGAATAAATCCAGACACTTCAACCTGGTTCGCAGGAAATATATAGACGGGTAAGAAATGCGTGAACGACGGGAAATCCTGCCCCGGAACAAGTGAATTATCGCGAAAGTGGGTATCTGAATTTGGTATTCCTTTCTTGTATGTGTCTGCCCTCATAGAAGCGAGAGATGCAGCGTGGAAAATGGGGTTATCCTGGAGGCGAACATCGTGACGCAGGATGTAGATGAGCAGGCGAGGCGAAGGGTCCTCCATGGTGGGCAATGTATCGCTCGAATTTTGGACTCCGCGCTCCCAACACCAAGAACAAAAGGAATCATTACATAGGGGCCATGTTGCACAGCGGCGAAGCATCAAGGATGGAAATTTCATGTGCACATCAATATTTGGCGCATGGTAATGGTTGCGTGGTGGTCGACAAGCAGTAAAAGAGGTCGAGGATACAATGGACTGCAGACGTCATGATCAAGATCGCGTTCTGGAATATCGCCCGAGAGAATTAAATCGATGCGCGCTAGAAGAAGGCACGGTGTGTCATCTGTCAAGCAAATGGGCCTACCGATCACAAAATGGCGGCCGAATCCTGTTGCGGAGGAGATCCGTGCAAGTGCTATACCTGCAGCAACGGCATGGCCGGCGATGACGGCATGCATGATTGGTCAAATCAATGCATAGCAAGACAAAAAGGGACATGCGCACATAGGCGACGTGAACGTTTTTGTCTCGAACGATGGTGGTGCTGTCATCGACTGTCCACGATCGCGAGGGGCCAAGATCCGTCTTACCATGTATGGTTAGCACTAGATCTAACAAGATCTAAATCGCCCATCCGCAGATCTGGACGCCGGACAAATCGCGTTCCGAGTGGCTCGCTGTGGGCGACACTACGCATGCCTGGTTCCGATCAATCATGCTAACACACGGGAATCAAGCTGAAGATCTGTGCCATCGAGATCGGCGAAAATGCCTGCCGTGGTCCGTCACACTTCGCGGAGGGTTGCCTGATGATGGAATTTCTTCGCATAATTGCTCTTCGTATTCCTAGTTGGTACAGTTTGCTATCATAGCGGAACCTTCCGCACCCAATTCATGGTTCAACAAATATTCCCAGCACAACATATAGGCATTCCGCAGGTAGTACTCGGAACTTTTGTGTAGTGCAATTAGGCACAAGTCCCCCGATCAGCACACGCTTCGATGCACACCCTCGTGCATTGGACGGCGCGCCTTGTGCTTCTCGTGCGATGGTAGACCTGGCGAAGACTGCTGTTTCTGCAAAAGGAGCGGGTGGTCAGCACTGTCCTCAAACTTCAGCCGAATGAACCACATACCTCAGCGCTTTGAGTAGGTTGCCACGCAGCAAGATCAACGGCGTCAGTTTTCATCATGCTTTCTGTGACGTTGCAAATGTCTGTGACCAGACGGTCAATCATATCAAGCGACAGCGTCTCGCGAACGACGACGCGCAGGATCTGTGTCTTCTCTTCATTGGGCGGCAACGGATAGCCTGGACC